CGCCACAAAACACCTAATGCAGCACCGGAGCCGGTGACGTGCCTCTCCTCTGCCCCATCTCGTCGAATGCATAGATGCGTGGAGCAGCGTGGCGTGGCCAGTGCATGATGTAAATAATTTTGTTTGTACTAATTTACCACAATCGTGGTGGCAAAGGCCTTGTCTGCAAATAAAAGGAACAGGAAAAATAAGTAAGGGGTGAACGAAGCATCAAAGAACATGGCAGGACAAAAATACAGAAAAGTAATCTCACATCGTGGCGGCCGCAGCACCATCCCCCACCTTCGTGCGTTAGCAGCATCTCCGTCTTGTCCAATTCAGCCGCGGGCTCTAACAAACAAAAGGCATAAAATAGAAAATAAAGTGAGGCCCAGGCTACGTCATTTCCTCCACTCAGGTGGCATTCTCCGAACAAGGGTGTGCTAACAGACAAACACACCAAAAAATGAAACAAAGGAGCGGGCTTTGATACTGCAAGAAGCAATAAATCGTATTTCGGTCGTCCCCCACACGCACCCCCTGCACATCCTCGCAATATTAACGCAATTTCTGCTCCCCTGCCGTTGTCAGCATCCCAATACAGTACAAAAAGCCCTATCTCTTCATCATCGTTCTTCGGGTGTGGAACAATAAAAAGTTACAGTCGCTTCCCCAGAACCCCAGTGAATAGTCACCGTCGCCAGTACATTGAAGATGTTGTTTGCAGCGTCGCAGAGCTGATCCGGCCAGTGTTTGCCGACAAGCCGCTCAGCCCCTGCTCCAGGTCATTGGAACGTCACGACATCGGCAATCCTCTCGGCTGCACCATTAACTGTGGCATTCACCTCCCAAAACACCCTTTCGCCCATTGTCCGTGGGATACGATAACGGACCAGTATCGAACAACACAAGCCGTGAGCACAGGACTGCTGAAGGCATTTCGGCACAAATCAGCGACTTCGGCAGTTAAAAAACAGCAGCTCCAAGACACGTTTGTCCCAATTCCCTCCAAACCATTAAAATTACCTTACCAAATCAATCTCAGCAAGTCACACACGGATAAAATTGTGTGACAGCATTCCGCTGTCTTTCTTCAAGTGCAAAGAGAGAAGCTCCCCACTCCGACCCTTTTTAAAAATAATAACACTAACAGCAGCTGCAGTGAGCCACACCATCGCTACAAACACTTACACGGAGGGGCAAGAAAAGGTGTGTGGGTGTGTGCTGATAGCAGGGACCGACACCGCATGAGGAGACCACTGTGGCAACGTCCGTCGCGTACCAGCACGCCGTGCGACGCCCGCACCCAGCAATTCAACGACACAGGGGAGAGGAAAATGACTCCATGAGCAGGCAACACCCTCACGCACGGCAGGCGTCGTGCGTGCCGCGTCAGCCGTCCTCTGACACAATGCAAAAAATTTCCCACACGCATCCATCCAATGGCACCGTGATTCCCACCACCGGCGGGCACGCAGCGTCCTCACCATGTCTGCATGGAGGCCACGGGACGCACAGTCACCGTCGTCCAGCCGCCAAGAGTTTCCTGCAGGGCACTGTCTGTGTTATTGTGTGTACGTTTGTTTTGGAGGCTGTCAGAGTATTTCTTACCCACCACGACGTGCACAGTGGCGTGTGCGGGAGTCTTGAATTACCGTACTGCCCGTGAGTGGGAGAATAATGATGAAATGCAAACACACACAGAAAAAAGGAAAAGGCAGTACAATGGCAAAAACAATGCAAGAGACAGCAAGTAACAATAGTGAATAATGGGATAAATGAAAAAGAAACGCAGAGCAGTAAAGCGGTAGATGAATCAATAGCGAGAGCAGCCGGCACCCCCCCAAATGCGTCGAACCTCAACAATTCATACATTCCGCCTTTTTCCCCTCGTTTCGGGCCATATTTGTCCCACTCTTCTTTTATTTGGGGCCAGCCATGAAGGCGAAGAATTCACACGGCTCTGGCACAAAACAGGGTTGTGGATGGGTGGGAAACCGCAGGTGCTTCATGCTCATGGAGGACAAACAAGTCGACTTTGTGCGGGAACTTCCGCCTCGCGTCCCGCCGTGTGCAAGCGCAAGAGGGCGCCTTCTATTCCCAAAACAAATGGCTTGATGCCGCCAGCAGCAACACATTAAAAATCGTTTGGCTACCACAAATCTGGCTCTCTTGTCGCCCAACTAGAACCGACGGTCTTTCGCAGCTGTTTGTCTCCCATATGGTCGCGATACCCAACTCTCACTTTCTTGCCTACAGGGCTCGCCGGTAATTAGAGGCTGCAGGCGCCTCCGAGACCTGTCATCAAGTCCGCAATGATGTCCTTTCAGAAATGACAGGCTCCCACACCCGGGCAATTCCAACCCGCAAGGAAGGGTCAGGGATATCACACAAACAACAGCCGCCCAGACGGGCAACGAGCAGAACAAGCACTCAGAAAGAAAAATCTATAAAATCCCCATTCCTTCCTCAATCAGCCAAAAAGCAAAATGAAAAAAAAGAAAGGTGTGCACGCGCTCATGGATGGGAATACGCATGAGTGGGGCAGCCCAAAACCTGTGAGTTTGCACTGTACACCACAAAAAAATGACCTCTATCACTGGTAAAAAGCATGTAAGTACCAAAACCATTCAAAGACCCATTTTCCCTTTTTGTGCCCTTTCCAAAGCAAAAATCTTCACGAAGCTAAATAATTAACGCCAATATCCCCATTTATTCGAAACAATTCCACCTCTTCCCGTAGGCATTCTCAATTTTATTCTTTATTTCTTTTTCTTTTCTTTTTTTGTTGTTGCATATCGCCGCTCCGCTACCATAAACACTATTTTCACTGGGCAAAAATTTAATTTCGCTTTACATGAAAGAGGGGGAGAACAGGATACCCAAGACTCTCCTCAAGGGCCTCCGCAAAAGCAATGTAAAGTCCACTAGATCCACAAGCAATCCCCACATAGCCAGCTGCCTGCGTCACCTCCTTCTTCCCAGAAAAGTCACCGGCGGCAAGAAGAAAGAACAGGAGCGCCATCGAGGTAAAAAGGAACTGCATTACGCGATGCGACCTCAAAAAGGCAACAAAACCCATACATACGGTGTGGAAACCCCATAATAAAGAATATAAGCCCATCAACGACCCCTCTGTTTTCACCACAAGCGCGTTCTCTTCGGTGTGTGGCAAAAGCCATGTACCCACAAGTGAAAGCCAAAAGGCGCCATAACTTAGGAAAGATATCGCAGAAAACGCGTTTCCATCAAAGTATTCCAAAAGTCCAACGAAGAGCTGCATCCCGCCGCCCATGACCAGACCCATCGCAGGAATCACAGAGCCCAGCTCAAATATTCCGGCATTACGGGATTGAAGAAGAATGGTTGAAATGCCAAATCCAAGCATCCCCAGCGAGGAGAGATTCACACGCTTCTTGGGCAATGCGACCTTTTTTACAAGTGCCAGATCATTGGAATTCAAAATATTTTGAAGGACAGTCAGCATCAACTCCGATTTTTCCTCATCCGCGGTGAGAGCAGCAAGCAACCGATTTGCGAGGGGGTCATTAGTCTTCCTCGAGTTGGAGTGTCGGCCATCAAACTGCTCTCCCTGGAGTTCATCAAAATTGGAGTTGCTCATTGTATGTACGCCAGAGTGGATACGGGTCTCCCCGTGTGTGTGCAAGTCTTCTAACCGGTTCAGCTTTTCAACAAGCTCTTTAATGAAGGTGCTGCTTGTGTGTTTCTGCGAGCAACAAAGAGGGAGTTACGGAGGAGTGACGGTGAGGAAGCCCCAATTCAGGGAAGAAAAACAGAGAAACACACAGAGAGGTGGCCCCTACATAACCTCCAACATGTCTTGTCGACGGATCTTTCCGGCTCCACAGTCTTCTCCTGAAGGGGTAAAGAAAATTATTTATGACGACCGGCGGTACAGAAGAGGCGGCAAGGCCCAATCCCCACAATCAGCACAACAAAATTTTAAGCTCGCGGATGTGCACCGTCTTCCCTCCACCCAAAAAATCAGAAACACGTGTGAGTGAACATTAACATTAATCCTTTTTTCCATGTTCCACCTTTATTTTCCTCAAATAAAAACAACAATTCCCCTCTCCTTACTTTCGTTTCTGCCCCGACGCCTCCTTCAATCCCTCGTTTTCCTTCGATGATGAGAAATCTCTTCACGCAATACCACAACGCGCAAAAATATGAGAAATCATGCGGAATACACAAATAAATAAAACCCTACTTTCCAAAAAAAAAATAGCCGCAAGAAAACATAAACGGCTCGGCTCAGGGCACCCGGCATCCTCACACCTCAGAGAAGATCCGTCCAACGCTCATGCAACCGCAAGAAAATTGGCTCCGAGACAACGCCGCGACAACCACATGCTCCCCCTTGTAGAGAGCTGGAGTAACAGGGAGCAGAACGGCAGAGAAGAAAGGGCAATCGCTCTCGTCACCTTCCAGCGCACTCACGCACAAAACCATTCAGTCAACATACGAAAATAAAATAAATAACATCAATTTGTTTTTCCATTCATTAGCTCTTATCGTGGCATTCAACACTTTTTATATATACATATACATTTATATTTACATCAACAAATAGAAAAAATATATATATTTTTTCTGGTCTTTTTTAAATATAGAGTGTAATTTTTTTCCTTCAATTTCCTTCAATTATGTCTCAAATTAATGGATTTTTCTTCTCCCTCAAAGTTACTGTGGGAAAAGTTTTTTTTTACACGTTTTTTTTTTCTTCGGCTGAGTTTTTCATTGGTGAAAGTAGGAAAGATTAAATCGTTATTTCCTGCTGTTTGATTGTAATCAACGGTGCAGGATTTTGTAAATCGTTTGTTTATTTTCAATTATTACTATTATTCCTTGTTTTCTTCATTTTTTATTACTGCGGACTTAATATATCTATAGTACTCCTTTGTCTTTCTCGCCACTCCTCCACGTGAGCGGAGTGGTGGGAAAACCCTCATTTCTCCTTATTTTTTTCTCTACCCCGCCTCTCTTCTCCTCCAGTCACGTTAACTCTTAACCCTCCTAATACATGGAGGGAACAAGGGCAGCAGTGTTCTTTTGTGGGCATCATTCAACGTCATTGCAATGCCACAGTAAAAGGCAATGACGCCGCAGATCATTCCCTCGTAACCGGCGACCTGCAACATAACGCTGCTATTCGCCCATAAAGCAATGCTCTGAGTCACGATGAAGAGGAATCCTGTAAAGAAAACCATAGTGACTGCAAGCGGCTCGCAAAGAGAAGACAAAAATCCGATAAAAAGAATAAGTGCCCACAAAAAGGCGTTGATACCGACCAATCCATCCTCCGCCCCTTGCAGAGACGCATAAGGCGTGCCCGGGTTCTTCTGCGGTAAAATCCACACCATAGCCGTCGCCAACCAAAAGGCACCAAAGCTAGTGGAAATTGTACAGCCAAACGTGTTTCCACGAACAAATTCCATGACGCCCGCAATCAGTTGCGTGAGACCGCCGTACATTATGACAACTCCTGCCGTCGTTGTGTTCATCGCGAATAGC